GCGACTGATCTGAGGGTACCTCTGGTCCTCAAACCTCTAAACAGAGTCTACATTCAAAAGCACAGCTTAGGAGCTGAAACACATTGCAGTATCCCTTATGTACTGAGTCTAAAAGGGACCCCAGAAATGCACACTGACCCTGGTTTCACATCAGAGCTACAGACGTGCTAAGAACTTCATATGCTCCATCTACTGAAGAAAAGCAAATGCTAGTACAAACAACTGTGACACTGGATTCATCTTGCCTTGGGCATATTTATCCAGGGTATCGCCATTACCTCATTCACATTAGGCCTTTATTATCTGCTATTTTAGATCTTAGAAGCTGTTACAAGCCCTAGTCAGAGGTCAAGATGCTGTTGAACAGCATCATGTTGATGTTGATCTTTCTGAAAGAAAAGCATAATTCTGTCAACAGTAGAGCAATGTTAGATTTACAGCAGTGTAATGTCATACAAATCATAAGAGATAATGTAATCTAAATTATATTTATTTTTAAAAATAAAGTTTTGTTGCCAAAAATATAGACACTGCCTGTTAAAATCCACCTGGTAAAAGACTACCGTACCTTCATCTTTAAGAACTAAATAAGGTATTTTGGGGCTTTTTTATGCTATCAGAAAAGACCCCAAATTATTTAAAAACAAACTTCCACCATCTAAATAAAATAATACTGAAATATTGTGCTGTAGTTTGGAGTAACTGCATAAAACATGATTCACATGTTTAGAAATTCTCCTTTATTTTTCCTCTGTGTGCAGCGCTGATCTTCTTGAACTGTTTGTCGCAGGGTGTAATTACGTTCCTTTCACCTAAACTATTTCTACATATTTTAAATTTCTATTTCCAGAAGCTGATTGTTGTTGAGTGTTTCGGTTTGGTTTGGAAGAAATCTGCATGCAGTCACTTGGGTGATGGACTTTGATGTGCTTTATGAGAAATTTTGCACTCAGACAAAATGCAGACTCAGAAGAGCAGAATCTACCAGAAGACTGTTGGTGACCTGTACTTTGGTTGTCACTGAGAGAAATGTTCAAGGCAAAACCACAGACCATCTCCTTGAACTCAAGTTTTTCATAAAACACTGCGTTCCTTCTGAGGACCTCACTTCCAGACAAACAGTGCTCCAGAGCAAGCAGGAGGTGGCTCTTGCACTGCTCATCAGCAGGAAGGTCCTTGTGATCATGAGCAGAAGCCAAGATATCTGACAAGTGCCTGTCAGCCCAAGTACAGTCTGTATTCTTCTACTGGAGAACCTCCACTGCCTCTGGTCTCAAGGCTTCAAAACCCAAATTCTGTTTAGTGTTATGGCTGCTATCTGACCTAGAGCACTTAAAAATCTCATCTACTTATGACAGCTCATAAGCACTCTGCTTGCCATCCAGGCAGCAGATGATCGAGGGGCCTGGTGAGATTTGTTTTGCTGTTATCTCTCTTCCTGTGATCTTGTCCAAACCCCCGGTCCTGTGTCCTGCCTGCCCAGCATATGCTGTGGTAACTCACACTGGAAGTGCTGTGGGCAGGGAATGGCTTTTGGTTTAAATGAAATGGTGCAGTTACATCATCTTGCACAGCAGGTTCCTGCTCTGTGTCTGAGCTGGGCCAAGTGAGTCCTCTCAAGCTGGAAAAACATGGAATTGCAGTAATAAAAAAATATTATAGTATGTTATGTATAATAACAACACATTCTAGGCTGGTCCCTGCATGGAATCTCCCAGATATACCTGGTAACAAAGGAGAGAGAGATCTGAATACTAATAACAGCTGGAGGAGGGGGCCCTTAATAGTATTTTGGCTAATTGCCAGGTTGCTTGCTCTTGAAAAATTTGCCTGTGCTGAGCTAGACATATTTTTCATGTGTAGAAAATTAGGTTGTTGGTAGGACTTTATATTTTCCTAATGCTTCCTACAGTCAACTGTTGAAGGTTCACAATAGCCATGAGATCTCTGTTTCTACCTCAAAGGCCTTCAGGCCTGCTTTGAAAGTCTTGGAAAATCATGGCAGCTGAACAGGTCCTGGAAAGAAATTGTAATTTTGGAGAGCTCCCGATGGAAACTTAGAAAATGAAGAAGTATCTTTTTATTTTGTGTGTTTGGGGATTTTTTGTTGTTTGTTTGCTTGATTCTTTTTTTAGTAAATACAAATGACTAACTCAGGGCCTCTTTTCTCCTACCCTGAAGGCAGAACAAAGTCTCTGATGATTTGCTTGTTCAAAAGGTCTGCACTGATTTTACCTTTGGGTCTGTTCTAATGTTTCACATTGTTTCATTGTAAGCATTTTCTGTGGTAATTAGACTGTAATAGCATAATCCCTGGTGGCCTTCCTGGAGTGTCTGGCCTCTCTGGGTTGAGAAAACTCTGCTTAGTGACAACATATTTTCTTCTAAGTGGGAAGGGGAATAGTTGATGTTGTGAATGGTGTCCTGATTATGATGGAAAATCTCTTAAAAGAGCGAAGTTTTGCAGGATTTCCTAAAAGTGATTCAGGATACATTTGTCTGATTTCCTCTGGAAGCTCACAGCAACCAAGATGGTGCATGTTTGTTTTGTCCCTGGCTGCTTCCTTCTGGACTCTGGTCTGCATTGTCCCAGAGGAACACAGATATCTCTGTGACTTGTAGATGCAGGTGCAGGCATTTTTTGTAGCTGGGCACAGATATATTCAGAGCTTTGAAGTCCAAGACCTTGAACTGGGTGGGGGTGGAAGCAGGTTAAAAATCCTCTTTAGCTTCCGAAAATGCAATGCCTAGAGTCATCTGAACTGTAGTGTGAGGCAAAGAAAGAAAACTAGCTTTTTGAAGTCTTCTAAAAAATGAAGTAGAGATTTGATATTTTATCTTGGTTACATTTCCTCTGAATGATTTTGACAAACTATTGATGTGAATGCCTCTAATTTCAAGGTTTTTTTCTTGGGATATAACAAAATTAAGACAGCCTTTCAAAGTATGGCCACAGGCAGAGGAAGAACAGATATGTCCAGGGTAGAAATAGAGCCATCCCATGGGAATAACAGAATAGAAAGGCCTTGGAAATTCTGTGTTTGGAAGCTTGTCTCCAGACAAGGGATTTCTGCAACAAGAACACAGGCCCTAAAATCTTCACTTGCAACTGCAGAAGCTCTTCCTTCTCTATAAGGAAAAGGAATGGCTTGGAATGGGACTTGGCTAACTAAGCTCTCATCTTGTGCCCTTGGACACATCCCGTGCTTCAGTTTTCCTCTGTGCAGAACAGAAGGGTTACTATTAATGGTCTTTATAAAGCTTATTTGAGATCTACCTGTGAAAAGGGTCATAGTGACTGGGGGTGGTGGTGTGTTCCTGGCAGAATTAGTGACATCTGAAGTCAGAGGGAGCCTTGCACAGAATCTGAATCAGGTTTAAAGCCAGGTCCCACTTTACAAACACCCCAAGGCTGAATTTAATTGCTGTGTTAGTCAGCGTGGTGCCATTGGGGTACAGTGCTCACAGACAGCATGGCTGCAGTCGGTTGGTGTCGTGACACTCCCAGTGCCAGAGTAGCCCCATTTCTGGGGTGCTGGTTTGGAGGTAATCCCTTCCTACCTCTATTCAGCCTCCTTGTGTTGAGGAGTGAGGCAACAACTGGGATGAACAGGCCATTCACCCTTCCAGCATTACAACTGTCACACACACAAGGCTGGCTTTATATTCTTGACAACTGTGATTTTACCTCTGTAACACTTTCATGCAAAGTGAGTGGTTTTCCCACTTTATTTTTGCTTCTCAGGGAAATGGATGAGGACTCCCCAGCTGCCACATGAACGAATGAAATATTTGAGTATTTCCCTGTCATTAATGAAGACTTCTGAAGTTCTCCTTTCTGTTGTTTTTAGGGTTGTGAGAGATTTATCATGATAGGTGCAAAGAAAATTAAACAAATCAACACCCCAACCAGCTGGGCACTTACAAGTGTTGATTCCTGTGTTTCTTTTTTTTGTTTTTGTTTTTGTTTTTTTTTAAGTGACTGGTGAAAACCACCCCTTCAAGGCAGATGTGGGGTTTGGGGCAGGGCAGGACAGGGCAGACTGTCCCATCCAAGTGGGGGGAGTGTCAATCTGCTGGAGGGTAGGGGGGCTCTGCAGAGGGACGTGGACAGGATGGATAGATGGGCTGAATACAATTATATGATGTTTAACAAGATCAAGTGCCGGGTCCTGCACTTTGGTCACAACAACCCCACACAGCTCTACAGGTTGGGACAGAGTGGCTGGAGAGCAGTCAGGCAGAAAGGGACCTGAGGGTGCTGATTTACAGGAGGCTGAACATGAGCCAGAGTGTGCCCAGGGAGCCAAAAAGGCCAATGGCATCCTGGCCTGCATCAAGAACAGCGTGGACAGCCGGAGCAGGGAAGTGATTCTTGCCCTGTACTCAGTGCTAGTGAGGCCACCCCTCAACTTCTGTGGCTCGTTCTGGGCCCCTCAGTTTAGGAAGGACACTGAGGGGCTGGAGTGTGTCCAAAGAAGGGCAACAAAGCTGGTGAAGGGACTGGAGCACAAGTCCCGTGAGGAGCAGCTGAGGGAGCTGGGGTTGTTTAGCCTGGAGGAGGCTCAGGGGAGACCTCATCACTCTCTACAACTCCCTGACAGGAGGGTGTAGCCATGTGGGGGTTGGTCTCTTTTCCCAGCAACCAGCAGTAGGACAAGAGGGCATGGTCTTAAACTGCACCAGAGGAGGTTTAGATTAGACATTAGGAAGAAATTCTTTACAGAGTGATCAGACATTGTAATGGGCTGCCCAGGGAGGTGGTGGATTCACCATCCCTGAAGGTGTTTACGAAGAGACTGGATGTGGCATTCAGTGCCATGGTCTAGTTGACACGGTGCTGTTGGGTCACAGGTTGTATTTGGTGATCTCAGAGGTCTTTCCCAGGCCGCTCGATCCCGCGCTGCCGTCCCGTCCCGCCGGGGCGGCGCGGACTGCAAGGCCCAGCATGCGGCGGGGCGCGGCGCAGGCGCAGGGCCGGCCTTGAGTGGCAAGTTGTTTGTTCCAGCAGCACCAGCTGCTCCGGGCTGCGCTGCCCTGCCCGGCTCCGCTCCGCGCCCCGCCGGCCTCCTCCGCCAACTTCGGCACCGCCGCTCCCTCACCTACCGGCCCCCGGAGCCGGGAAGGGGCAGAAGGAATCGAGGGGAGGCGGGGGAGGAACAACGGAAAAAAAAAAAAAAATAAAAAAAAAGGCACCGACAATAACAGCCCCCCTCCCCCTCCCCCTCCCCATTCAAAACCACAAAATAAACCCCAGGGATAGATGAACTACAAATGAGAAAGAGGAAAAGATGGAACTGCACATCCTAGAGCACAGGCTCAGAGTGGCCAGCATAGCCAAGGAGAGCATCCAGTTGTTTACCTATGGATTAATCAAACTTGCTTTCCTGTCCTCCAAGACGAGGTAGGTGCTGGGGATGGGGCAGTGCGGGGGCAGGGCGGGGGCGCCCTCCTTGCGAGGGGACGGGGTCTTGGGGACGTATCCTCCTTGGTGTACGGGGGCTCGGGTTTGCAGGGTACCCTCCTTCCCTCATAGGGGCTGGGGTGGGGGTATCTGCCTGGCAAGTGAGCAGAGCAGCCTCCTTCTTGTAAAGGGGGTGGGTTGATGGGTGCTCTTCTTAAAACAAACCAATAAAAACCCCACAACACACACAAAAAAACAAACAAGGCTTCTTCTCCTGGGATGGAGGACACCCCTCCTTGCAGGGGGGCAGTTTGGGAAGGGGGGCACCCTCCTTCCTGCAAATGGGCACGGTGCTGAAGGGGGAGGACACCCTCCTCGTAACGGGGCAGGGTGCGGGGGGAAGGGCGCCCTCCTTGAGAGGAGTCAGGGCGCTGGGGGAGCGGGGACGCCCCCTCGGCAGAGAACAGGGGTCTTGGGGGTGGGGGGACCTCTGGGTCTTCCCTGCGCACACCTCCATCCCGTCCCTGGGAGACGGCGATGCGGGTCAGCGCTCGAGTTCGGGGTGTCCCAGCCCGGCTCGGGGCACCCTGCGAGCCGCCGGGCCGGGCCGGATGAATGAGAACAGGTGGGGGCCGGGGGTCCGGCCGGGCCGGACAACAAAGGCGACAACAGCGGCCCGAGCAGGAGCAGTGGTGGGGGTTTCTCTCGCGCGCTCCCTGTTTTCGGGGAGGGGGTTGTTTTGTTTTGTTTTTCCCTGGTTGTTGTTCCTTTCAGCACTTAGAGCGAAGCCTCCACACGCGGGTTTGTTTAAAAGGTGCTTTTCCAGTGCTGCCAAATTGGAGGGAGGACGAGGGGCAGTACGTGTCTTGCACTTGAAAATTGTGATATTGAGTAATATGGATTGTTATAGCTTTCGGGAAAATAAAACAAACAAACAAAAAAACGTAGTAAAAGGCACAGTGAGCATTTTTAAATTTTTGTTTAAGGAGAGGAAACAAAATTGTGTGGTCAGTTTATTGAATGTATGAAAGGAGCTAGGCCTGTCGCACAAAACAACTTAAATTATAGTCGTGTATTCTTCTGTCTTCACTTAGCTTAGTGACTTTGGTCTATTCAGAAAAAGAAATGCGAATGTAAATAACACTACTCAAATTCTCTTGTTTTTCCAGCCTGATGATTAGTATTTCAGTTTTCTCCCCACATTCATCTTGAATAGCATTCTCTTATGAAGGTGGGAAGTTTTCTTTGGCTGTAGGAAAATAATAAATAGATAATAAATTTATTTTTTATTTCTTAAATTCCAATCTGTAATTCAGTGCTCTCTCTGTTATAATGCTTATGGATGAATGGAGCTATTTGTGATGTAATTTGATCACAGTTCCTTATCTTATGCTTAAACTTCATGCATTGAAATTTCACTCCGATTTGGGGCTCATCCCATTTGGCTCAGCACTGACATTGTTTGCAGTGTAAAGTGCATCAGTACCTTGTTTACTGCTGTCCCTGAATACTCTACAGGACACTAAAATAGAAATGTGTGACTGAAGAGCCTTTAATATGTTGCTTTATTATAATTGAAAGTTGCTGCTGATTTTTTGAAGGACTTGTTGCTCCCCCTCCCATGCTTAAAATGTCACAGTTAACATCAGTAGTGAAGTCTTTAAATCTGTCACTCCTAATGTATAGAGTGGAATTTTGGGGGTTGTTTCTTTGGGGTATTATTATTATTATCTTTTTTTTTTTTTTTAAAACTTCAGGGTTGGTCCTGTTGTCTTTCTGTTTCACACTAAATTTCACATCTTCAATGTTAGAGAACTGTGAAAGGATCAGGGCAGTAAGATAACCCCTTCAGGATGTGATACCTTGTCCTGCATTTGGGTGCAGCACTCGACAGTTATTGTCTCTGGTTGCTGTGGTGTCCATCCCTTTCCATATACACTGTGAGTATCAATCTTTTCGTTAGCTTTCATGGAGTCTTACTGATCAGGAACAGCAATTGTTTGTGTAAAGGTTTGTTGGCACGGGAAGCCTCTATTTATTTATCTTTTGTTTGTTTTATTATTTTTGCAGACAGTAGAGATGCAGGGGAGAGAAGGGGAGGCTTGTTTGTGTCATTCTTAAGACAACTGACAACACTGAAACCTTGCTTTTCCTTTGTGCTTTTGCCTGCCCTGAGGCAAACAAGGTCCCTGCCCCACAGATCTCGCTGATGAACACCATGTGTGTGAGGAAGGTGAGGGTCCCTGGGAGATGTAACTCCATAAATTTATGATTCCACTGTTTCTTTTTCCTCCTCCTTTAAAGAGTGAATATGCCCAGGAGACAATAACTTTTTATAGGGGTGCAAGAGGGATCTCCCTTCCTGACCATCCCATCTGCAAAGGACCACTTAGGGGATGAAAGGGGAAGGTGGCCCACAGCCCTGCTAACCTTTTCTGATTAGATAGCAAAGATGCCAGTTACTTTCATCACCTGCATTTTTCCCAGTGAGACCCTAAACAGAGTTTTTACCTGTGCTGCAAGGCTACCGTAAGAAATGATTTGTGATCCAAAGGGATGGCAGTGACATCATCAATATTGTTATATTGGTCATGCAAGAAACTAGGGTTTTGACATAGTCTCCTGCGAGGAGTGATTTGGACGGTTTCTTTTATGTTTTCCTTAATCCTCTTGGGAAGAAAAAGTAACAAATCTCCCTCTTTATTTGACCTTTTTTCACTCTCAGTCTGCCCTTGTTCATGACATGAGTTTTTTAATTTAGCTTCTATTACAATAACAGTATTTTTTGAACAAAGAACAGCAATTTTAAAACTATTCTGATGACCAGGAGCAAGACAACAGTTAACAAGGTGAAGAGGTGAGACCAGTAGTGAATAAAACAGTGAGCTGAACTGAGCTGAAAGAAAAACACTATTAATCATAACTGTGTTAGGCATGACATTTTTTATGCAAAGTTACATTAAGAGAGGTATTTCAGAAATAAACAGTAGTGGAACTCCTGAGCAGTTACACTGAACACTGTGCTCTTGGTGCTCTGCTTGTGTCAGTGCAGAACTGCTGATTACAACAGGCTCTGCCAGGTACCCCAGTGGAGGAGCAGATCCACAGCATCATTTCTGTTTGCCTGGTGAAGATTTGCATGTGTCTAATCTTTTTGCCGTTGCTGTCATCCTCATTCTGGTGGTTTACTTTGTGTTGGTTAGAGAGTGTTGCTAATAATGCCAAGGTCATGGGTTCAGTCCCCATACAGATCATTCACTGACGAGTTGGACTCAATGATCTCTGTGGGTCCCTTTCAACTCAGAATACTCTGGGACTCTGTCTGTGTTTGACTTGAGGATTTTTACCTATTCAGAAGGTGTGCAGTGTGTTTAGATATGTAAATACAAAAACTGTGTGTGGCTTCACCGTTGCATCCTTTTGCTTTCTCACATGCCTCTGTAAATGTTGGTTCTCTGGGGCGGAGAACTGTGCTCATCTGGGAACTCCCACCTTCAGCCTGTGTGCTGCAGAGCAAGCAGCTTCCCTCCCGTCAAACCTGCCTTCGCTTCCTTGGTCAGAGTTAAACTGGCTGATGCTGCTGGGACATGTGACACAAGTAACCTGCTTGAAGACTTGACAGACATACTAAAACATGCTAATGTGTTGCTATGTTTCTGTCTTTTTTTTTTCCTAGTTGCAAAATATTATTTAACTGCATCTCCTTTTAGTGCATAAGAATTAAATCTGAATGGAGGGGAAGGACAGCCTGAGATATGTTTGCACTGAACCATTAGTGCATGCAATAGGGAGAAGGAAGGTGAGCCTGACCTTGTCTTTTGAGTGTATATAAAAATATATGGAGAGTCGAGGAGGATAAAGCGGGGTCAGGGTTCTTCCAAGCACTATATTTATATGATGTAATTAGCCTGATTTCTGGGTAATGCTTTGGTAGACCCCTGAACATCTGGAGTCAGTGAGTTAAAAAGTAGCCTTTCCTGTCTATTCCAGTACCTCATATAAAGGTTTGGTGGTAAACAGTGAAATAAAGTAGTTGAGGGAAAAAAAGGTATATTATTTAAATTGTAATGCTATTAAGTTATAACCAGAATGAAACGGAGTGGTTAGTTTGTTCACAGGGCTGGGTGGTTAAAGTAATTGTAGGTCGTGTGTCTGGCGTCACAAACTTTAAAAATCTCCAAGGGTTTTTTGTTACTCTTTGGCTTGAGATGGTCATTATTTCAGCACACTGAAGAGAAGGAACAAGTTCTGTGTGTGTAAAGGATGAGATCTTGGTCACAGAAGTTTCTAAGGCTACCATTCCAAAATCATCTGTCACTCTTGGTTTTCTTTTCCTTGGTTCTGACCTTCTTCTGAAGGTACAGTTTGTGTACATTGGTGACTTGAAGCAGAATTACAGGCACTTTGCAAGCTTGCAGGTTTGGCACTAAATACAGATGGCTGGCCATGTGAGTGAGATGCTTCCCAGAAAAGCTGGAGGAGCCAGGCTGGGCTCTGTCCCAGCCTTGATTCTGCTTGTCACTCACCTCTACCATGGGATGCTCAGAGGCAGGAGGTATTCTTAGTGTGGAGAGGTGCTTCAAAATATTAATTCTACTAAAAATGTAGCAAGAAGTGAAAACTATGATAAACTGTACGGAATAAGTTGAATTTTTTTCTTTAGTTTGTGAACAAAAACCATATAACTAGGATTGTTAACTTTAAGTTTGTGGTGGTATTTTTGGTAATCTATCCGTTTTGCTTAGTAGTAATTGACACCTCTACTTATGAATAGTGTGCTGTTGCTATTAATAAAAGTGTTTCTCATTGCCTGATCACTTGTTTACTGTCTAGGTGTCCTGAAATTCGAGATACTGTAATAAAAGGTCTATTTTGGATTTCAGAAAATAATAGGATAAACAAGTGCTTAAAATGTATCCATGCATCATTTAAAGACACTCCAGATCAGCAGCCTGTTTCCTTTGGTATGAACTCAGACAAATGTGTCTTTTATGCCCGTG